AATGAATATATTAATTAGAACATCCTTAAATTAGCACTGTATTCACAAATGACTTATGAAAGTCATCCAAGTCATTGGCCAATCTTGTTATGAACATGTAACTTCCCAGTCTAGAGTCAAGGTTAGTTTAACTTTCAAATCTGGGATCAGAAAGTTAATGTTTGTTTCATAGGTGCTGGGTTTTGTTTTTTTTTTCTAATATTTATCAAATGTGCCACCTAGGAATTGTACCAAGAAAAGGTTAAGATGTTATGGTTCATCATGTTTTTTTTTAGTATTATTGTGCCTGGGACTGTCTGGACCAAAATTAGTGGTCTCTAGATATTTTTCAATAAATGATGCTGCTTTCTCAGATACTCCCAGAATTGTAGAGTTAGCTCAGGGTAAGATCATTATTTTAGCTGTTATTGTGCTGGATTCACTACTGTGTCTGGAAGGGCAAGGATAAATTTGGGCAAAGGATAGGTTCTTCCTTTCATCCATGGACTTTCTTCTTAGATACTAATGAAATGAGAAAAGTATTCTTCAGGTGCCAAAAGCCTGTGCTGTGTGTCTGCAGGCAAAGGACTTTCACGGACTCCCATTGAAGGAAGCTGGTGGAATTTGGGCATCTCCAGGGGCCTGTGGAGAGCTGTGGCCTCTAGTTCTTCCCTGGTCTGGCCATACTATTTTTGAGGCATTACAGATGAGCAGGGGGCAATACCGTGCTATGTGCATGGCCATCTCTGCCCTGAATTTTGAAACAGAGTCATTAATTCCCTTAATGTATCTACAACCCTCACTCACCCAAAGGAGGATTTTTTTTCTTTATTAATCTGACATTTTGATCTATAGCTATTTCTGATTAGTTTCCATAGCCTTGGAAAGGAATATCTCAGGGACTGAGGTCTAGTTGTGCATGTTAGATGGAATATTCCACCATCCAGAAAGTTGACCCTCAGTTTCACATAGCTGCTGGCTAGTGCTGTAATGACAGAGTAACTGCCTGTCTGGAGTTGCGGTCTACAAGTCATGTCAGTGAGAACTGTGACAGTTTCTGCAGCAAGATAATTGGGAGCTGGCTGTGCTGTAGAGGTGAGAGACATAGAGGTCTTTCAGCTTGCTTCCTAAAGAAGCTAATGCCATAGGACAGTGCTTGATGATCCTGTTTCCAGGGTGGATTTGCTTCAGGATTTCCAGTTCACTCAGTTCTAACTGATTATATTACTAAAATGTTCTTGGAGCATGAGCTTTGTTTTTTTTCCTGGGAAAGCCCAGACTGCTGTGCTTAAGAAAGTTAAAAGATAAGCCCACTTCTAAGTGTTTGAAGAGTGATCAGGCACAGTTGTCTAATTATCTCATATAGTTCAGTCTTGATCTGTTCCTCTTTTGGGGGGGTAGCTAATAACTTTACACAGTTATCCACAAAAATCAAGTAGGAATGTGAAATCCCCTAAGTCTGTTTGAGTCAAGTTCTTAAGTGCATACTGAGCATAGACATATCATATCTTAAGTTTGGGAATTAACACGCTGCTCTCATCCTAATGACATTTCATCTTCTCTAAATTCCACATGTGTTTTACTCTTCCAAACACAGCAAATACATTCCTTTTCCTAGTTTTATTCTTATCCAGCAAAAGAATCACAAACCAAAGCAGTTACCAAAATTACCCTTGATTTAGACACTGAAAATATTAAAACACTCAGAGTCCCAAATTAAAACAATCTGTGAAATAAAGAGAGAATTGTCCAAGAAAACATCAAGTTTGTCATTAATTTCATGTCAAAGACCACGAGGAACTGAGAAACGGTGTCAAGCACACTGACATGTCACGCGGAGCAAAGACTGAGAGTGGTACCTGGGCACCCTCTTTCTCCAGAAGCCACCCAGAGACTATTGTGTCTAAAGGCTGTGTCTTTTGTAATAAAAGCAATTTTGAATTGAGGAGTCTTTGTTTTGCTCTTTATTATTGGACTTTGTGTAGTTTAAAGTTTTAAAGGTGGTTCAAATCCAAGGTGTATTTACTAGCAGAAAACTCTTAATTCTGCAGAGAAAACTGAGAATAGCCCTCAGTTAAGAGTGGCGAATCAGAAAATGCATGTTCCTTCTAAATGTGATTTCATCTCTTAGCAAGTTTTCAGTCAAGACATTTAAAATATATATTCCTTTAGTTTGTGGATTGCTCTTCTCAATGCATGTAAAAGGCATGGGGAATTGCAGAACTAAAAGAGGAAATTGCACAGAGAACCTAAAATAAAAATGTTTTAAAGTCTTTGTCAACGTTGTCATGTACTTCATCAGCTCATTGATTTGTTTGGCATGGATTTTGGGGGGTGCATTTGTGGGATGTAGTTTTCTATTATTATAATAGAAAGAAAATTGTAATTGCATAAATCATTAATTGATGCAGAAAGTATACAGAATTAAACATTAAAATCTCTTTATATGTTTTTCCATTCTAGCCCCTGAATCGATTTTGTATGAGGGGATTGGACAGGAGATTGAGATGGAGATGAAAGGTATTGTTACACTGAATGTGAGATTTAAGTAGAAATTCTGAAGGATTAATAGAATCCTTGATCTGCCTTCTGTTAGTATCATTGAGAAAAATGACACAGATGTACAAATATATCTCTTAGAGTATATATTACTATGTCGCATGCCTATGTAGTATGCTGATGGTTACATGCATTTCCCAGTAATTTATTTTATGGTGATTTAAAATCTTGTATGTAAAATTTATCAGCCACTTTCAAAAGCGTGTCTTAGGAAAAGTCGTCATCTTATTGCATGAAATCATGAAGTAGGAATTTGTTTTGAAAATCACAGTGAATTAAACTGAACAATAGACAATAACCTAGCTGTCATTTTCAGAATGCAATGTCATGAAATGCTACTTTCTTCAGGGTGTGTGAAAATGTTACATTCCCATTCTGGTTTACACTTCATGCACATACATCATTTTAACATTGATATGTCTCTTACACTGGCTTGCAGATAGCTGCCTTATGTGATCCTTATTGCCTGCTTTTCTTTGCATAACATCATGACTTTGTGGCTGTATTAGTTCGAATAAACGCCTTCTCATTTTATTTTAGCTGATTATTTCTGATTATAGTTCTTGTATATATATATTTTAAATAGTTAATTCTCCAAAAATATAATAATTTAATCTACAATCAAAAGGATCAGAAAGGGCGTTTATTCCACTCTCTGCAAGTCAGGTAAGATTTTCCTCTTAGCCATCAAAAGAACAAGGTTTTCCTGCTCTCAAAACAAATATGCACAGGAACATGTTATTTTGAAATGCATTTTTGCTTGTTCAAGAAGAAATTTCAGCAGTTTGAAGAAAAGACCAGACAACGAACGATTTTCGTGTCAGAATCTTTTAAACAGAGCATGGTGTTGCGTTTATTCGAACAAATATGGTGAGTGAATTTTTTTTCTGGATTTGTGAGAATCTGTAGCATGCACTTTATTTTATTTCCTATTTTTGCAATTTTCATTTATTTTCAACTTTTTCAAATCCTATGGAAAATAGTAAAATGCTTTATAATTTAACTTTTTTCCAGAATTGTCCTCTGAGGAAGAATCTGAACATTCAGATCGAGATGCCCGGGATGCCTTCTCAGATTCTGAACATCTAGACCACAGCTCCATGGCTGCTAAAAGATATGCGAGTAGAATATCATCTACAAGCTCCTGGCCTGAATATTTCAAGCCTTCTTTTACCCAAAAACTTACATTTAAATATGTTTTAGAGGGCGAACCTGTTGTCTTTACATGTAGATTAATTGCCTGTCCAACTCCAGAAATGACTTGGTTTCATAACAATCGACCTATCCCAGCAGGCCTTCGTCGGGTTATAAAAACAGAGAGTGATTTACATCATCACTCTTCCAGCTTAGAGGTGAAAAGGGTCCAAGACAGAGATTCTGGAAGTTACAGATTATTAGCAATTAATAGTGAAGGGTCTGCTGAATCAACTGCCTCGTTGCTTGTTATTCAGAGAGGGCAAGATGAGAAATATTTAGAATTTCTGAAAAGGGCAGAACAGACACATGAAAATATGGAGGCTTTGGCTGAAAGTAGAGAAGATAGGATAACAGTTGACCTGAGGTTTACTGGCTCTCCCTTTAACAAGAAACAAGACGTGGAGCAACAGGGAATAAGGCGAACTATACACTTTAAGACAGTAAGTCCTGGCAAGAGAACAACCTTAATGTATGGTGAAGAATATTTAGAAAGTAAATCTGACATAAGGGGATGGCTGAATGTGGGTGAAAGTTTCCTGGACGAGGAGACCAAAATGAAGTTGCAACGTTTACGGGAGGCTAGAAAAATTTTAATGGAGAAAAGGAAATTGTCTCTGTTGGAGATGTCATCTGAAATAAGCTCAAGAACTCTGAGAAGTGAAGATAGTGGTACGGACGTGGTGTTCTCTAGAGAGGAAATACAAAGCAGGTCTGTAGCTGATCTAGCTGATGATAATGACAAGGCAGATAGTTCAGCTGAAGGTGTTGTCCAAGATCCACACATCCTGCCTAATCTAATGGATCAAAATGTAGACTCTGGAGAACCTCCCACCAGCTTTCAGACCACTGTTGATGAGGAAATTCTACAGACTGAAATGAGAATGAGCCATGAGGCATTTCTAAGAGAAGACCTGTCAACAGGCCATTTATATGGTAAGAGTCCAGTAAATGAGAATATCCAAGCAAGAGAACAACTTGATGAAGTGATGACCAAAACTGACCTTGTAGGGCCATCTAAAGATCTCATGGATGTAAGTCAGAACGAGGAAATATATGAGACCCCAGAAAAGGTGCCTCAAGTTATTATGCCATATACCAGTGACTCTTTTGATACAATCATAACTATTAAAGAAAATGAAGAGCTAGATAGTAAAAGAATTAGACAAGATGATTTGAGAGAATTGGAACACCCCATTTCCACAAAAGTTGATGAATTCATAACTGAACAGGAAGACAAAACCACAAGATTTTTTGAAAGTTCTTTCCAAAACCGTCCACAACGTTGCCCACCTTCATTTCTTCAAGAAATTGAATCTCAAGAGGTTTATGAAGGTGACAGTTGCGAATTTGTGTGTCATTTTCAAGGCTATCCCCCACCCATAGTGACATGGTATAACAATGATATACCAATCCCACGTAATCAAGGCTTTATCACTCATACCTTTGAGAACTATTCCACTTTAACTTTTTCTTCCGTTCTTCCTCAAAATGAAGGTTCTATTACCTGTGTGCTGTTTAACCAATATGGAACAGTAAAGACAGCTGGTACCCTTGTAGTGAAAGCAAAACAAAGGCATGATGTCGGAGCACATAGAGTCCCCGTGTTGCACGACTACACTGATGAGGAAGAAGAGCTGATGTTGGTATTTGATCAAGCAAAAACCGTTCATCCATCCTTGAGACAAGAGGATGTGTTAAGGACTAACCCACCAGCTCCTCTCTCTGCAGATGTAGAATTGCTTTCGTTTCCAGTAGAAATTCAGATAACAGCAGCTACTCCTACCCCAGAACAAGATAAAGAGTCAAGAGAATTATTTCAACTCGAGGAGGTGGCGCCCAAGGCAACACCTCAGTCACCAAAACACAAGTTTATATTTTCGTCTGACATTACTAATGAGCCGCCAGAACTCTTACAAGAAATGCCAAAGCATGCCAGGTGTAGAGAAGGAGAGTCCATAGTCCTTGAGTGTTTACTGTCCGGTGAGCCTAAACCAGTCGTGACGTGGTTTCAAAATGGAGTCCTTTTAAAGCAGAACCAGAAGTTTCAGTTTGAAGAAGTTAATTGCAGCCACAGGTTATATATTCATGACGTTCATTCTCAAGATTCTGGAAAATATAAGTGTGTTGCTGAAAACAATTCTGGAACAGTTGAGAGTGTTTCAGAGCTAACAGTGGAACCTGTCACTCACAGGGAATATACTCAATTAGAAAATATGGGTAGAATTTCTGCCAGATATTCTGAAGATCAACAAATTCCAGGAGAATCTGTAAGAGCACATTTTTATGATTATCCAGCTGGTCCTTTTACTCCCCAATCCAATATAAAAGAATATTCCGTAAGAGAATATTTTCAAAGCCTTGAGACAGTTGAACAGATAGACCAGAAAGGTCAAGTTTCTTGTACATCTTCCAGAGAAAAACTACCCCTATTTGTGCAAGGTGTCTCTAGATCTGTAAGAATCAACAAACCTATCAGAGCTGAACTCATACGATGTCAGGATGAAGAGAAAGAGGAACATGTAAATGAAAAATCAAAACTATACCAAGCAGAGGGGACTGTTTATCCATTTCATGATGATTTTGGTGACGTTAAAATTAGGAAAGAGGTTAGAAATGATTTTGGAGAACTCAGTGAACCAGAAAGGGGAAGTGTGCAAGAATATGCCCAAAGTGACTATTTGTCGAATATCCCTCCTGAGAGAACCTCTGATAGTTACAATACCAAAGAATCGTCCATCATTGTATATGAAGAGCCTTTTGGTGAGGAGAGATACTACCCAGGAAAGAAGGTGAAGCATAGGATCATTGCATTTGAAAAATTACAACACGTGGAAAAAGGATTTCTAGAAAAAAGACCTACCAAGAAATCATTTGTGAATCCTCCTCCAAAGAAGCTCGATGACAAAGACTTTTCATTAAAGCAAAATGAATCAAGATTGAGTAACCTAGACACAAATATGTATCAGGCAGAGGAAGTGTCTCCAAACGCTGAACCAGATTCATCTAATGTGATGAATTTAAGACTGCTTTCTTCTCAGACTCATAAGGAATTTGAAGTACAAGAGAGGGAACAGAGGGAAATAGGTCTTCTAGATCAATCTGCAGTTTCTGAAAGAGCTGAACAGGAAGCACCTGTTACAATTGACTTAAAGCACCATGATGCTCAAATAGAAAATGCAGATACAAAATTTCAAGAATTAGATAGTGATCAACCAGAGGAAGCTTATTTGAAAACTCAGCATCCTGCTTCTGAAACAATGGATGCTGAGAACATTGTATTTGTGCTAAAACAAATGTATTCTCATTTAGGAGATCCTGCTAAGGAGTTTCAAGAGCCAGAAACTAGGCATCAGCAGGAAACACCATATAAAGAGGAAGTTGTTAGCACTGAAGCATTACCATCCGATACACAGAATACCTCTCAAAGAGTGCCAAGTAACATATTTGCTAAGCCAGAGATTTCTTCCAGTAAGGAGTTTTCAGATAGGATCATGACGGAGAAAAGTGGTAGTGATGAAAATGCCTTTGATTCGGAGAAGGAAGTCCAACAGATACAGAAACAAAATTTAGAAATTTTAAATACTATGTCTCTTAAAACGTTTTCAGAAGAGATCCGTAGTGAATCATGTGCCCAACTTCAGACCTCTTCTGCAGATGGAGGAGAAACAGATATATCTGAGAAAAATGGAGATGGAAGTTTCATTTCACATTTGAAAAAAGCAGCAAGTGAGGAAAAGCTTTTGGAGGTTTGTGAAATGGAGAAAGAAAATACTTTGGAACCAGAGTTGGCATCATTTCAAAAGCACTATCAAGGGACTCAGGGCTATGTCACTGGAATCTGGGGAGACCACATAGGTGAAGTTCAGGAAGCAGACACGCTCCACAGCAAAGTCTCCCTCAGTCAGTGCTCTCCATTCTCGATGACTGAGGAACAGCAGAAGCCGAGTGAACAAATTAGTGAAAAAATGGATGCCTATGGAGAAGAAAAATGTTACGAGGAAGTTCAGGTTCAAAATGAAACCTCTTTCTCCACTATGGAAAGAGAAAAGATAGAAACTGGTTTTTCTGAAAATCTTCCTAAATTGGATGAGGCACATACAATGGAAGTAGCGGAATCTGAGCCCTCCCTAACACAATACTTACTTACTGCTGGAAAGCATGAAGTTCCTGAGACTAGAGGCATCAAACCCAAGGCAGAACTTGTCCAGAGTGAATTGATCACATCAATGGAGGTTGAAGAAGTAACTTTCAACACTGTGTATGAGTATTACAACCAACAACAGGAATCACTAGGTCGCCCTTTTTCTCCGGAATCTGATGTTTCGATTGATGTGGCAAGTACAAGCAGTGAAGACATTTCTGAGCTAGATCAGTTTTACACCCCACCATCCTCCGTTGAACATTTTGAAACTCCAAAATCTCCTGATTTATATTTCACTCCTTCAGATACAACTAAAAAACCCTCCACAAATGCGGAGGTGAGACTATTGAAAGAACCACACCTTTAGAGGAGGCTGCTGAAAGGTACTCGACACCTTCCGAAGGTGAGGTAGCAGAAAGATATTCCACACCTGCGGGAGAGACACTGGAAAGATATTCCACACCCCTAGGAGAGACTCTAGAGAGATACTCCACACCCCCAGGAGAGACACTAGAGAGATATTCCACACCCCCAGGAGAGACTCTAGAGAGATATTCCACACCCCCAGGAGAGACCTAGAGAGATATTCCACACCCCCAGGGGAGACACGAGAGAGAGATTCTACACTTTTAGGAGGAGAAACAGTTGAAAGATACTCTATTCCTACTGGAGGACCAAACCTTGCTGAAAACTTTAAAAGGTACCCTTCAAAAATAGAAAGGGAGGACAGTCCATCAAGTGAGCATTTCCAGACACCTACAGAAGAAAGAAGCTCAGCTTATGAAATGTGGCGTTCGGATTCATTTGGCACGCCCAGTGAAGCCATTGAACCAAAAGACAATGAAATGCCTCCATCTTTTATCGAACCTCTGACCAAACGGAAGATCTATGAAAACACAACCTTGGGCTTCATTGTTGAAGTTGAGGGCCTTCCAGTTCCTGGTGTGAAATGGTATCGAAATAAATCGTTGCTCGAGCCAGATGAGAGGATCAAAATAGAAAGGGTGGGGAATGTGTGTTCTTTGGAAATTGCTAACATTCAAAAAGGAGATGGGGGAGAGTATATGTGCCATGCTGTAAACATCATAGGGGAAGCAAAGAGCTTTGCGAATGTCGATGTAGTGCCCCCGAAAGAAAGAGCAGTGGCACTCCCACCTCCAGTAACACATCAGCATGTCATGGAGTTTGATTTGGAAAACACTGCATCATCAAGGACACCCTCCCCTCAAGAAATTGTCCTAGAAGTTGAATTGAGTGAAAAAGACGTTAAAGAATTTGAGAAGCAAGTGAAGATAGTCACAGTTCCCGAATTTACTTCCGATCATAAAAGCATGATTGTGAGTCTAGATGTTCTTCCATTGAACTTAGCAGATCCAGCTATGGTGTCAAGGGAAGAAGAAGACAAAGACTTAAAAATTGACTTAGAAGTGTTCGAAATGCCTCCTCGCTTTATAATGCCTATTTGTGATTTTAAAATTCCAGAAAATTCAGATGCTGTGTTCAAATGTTCAGTCATAGGTGTCCCTACTCCTGAAGTTAAATGGTATAAAGAATATATGTGTATTGAGCCAGATGACATTAAATATGCAATGAGTGAGGAGAATGGAAGTCATACCCTTAAAATTCGCAACGTCTGTCTTTCTGACAGTGCAACATACAGATGCAGAGCTGTGAATTGTGTAGGGGAGGCAATCTGTCGGGGATTCCTCACCATGGGAGATTCTGAGATGTTTGCTCTGATGTCAAAGAAAAGTAAAGTGACTTTAAGCAGTTTGAAGGAAGAATTAGTCTTAAAGAGCAAATATGCAGACAGCTTTTTTGAATTTCAGGTGGTGGAGGGACCTCCCAGGTTTATCAAAGGAATTTCTGACTGTTGTGCACCATTAGGAACAGCAGCGTATTTCCAGTGTTTAGTCCGTGGCTCTCCGAGGCCCACGGTTTACTGGTACAAAGATGGGAAACTGGTACAAGGATCAAGGTTCAGTGCGGAGGAAAGTGGCATAGGGTTCCACAACCTGTTCATTACAAGCTTAGTGAAAGATGACGAAGGTGAGTACAGGTGTGTAGCGACAAACAAGTCAGGAATGGCGGAGACCTGTGCAGTGCTCACCCTGACTTAAAGTTCCTGGTGCAAGGTGTTAGTGCCTCTGGAATGATGAGAATCAATCTGAGTGCTCTCACATTTTCCAAATATAATAATTTCCAAATAGGTCTACTTTGTTTAAACACGTCACATTGAAAACCCCCCTGGGAAAATAGTTTCTTTATGTGGAAATCTCTTGTTCGTAATGCATGTAAATATTCTGTCATCTAAACTGTGGAATCATCACCTGTGTCAATTCTGCTGTGAATCATCAAATACAATTAAACATCTCCTTGGCTACCTACTTGTCTGTATTTCTGCTTTATCCTCCTTCCTCCTCCATGAAGTGTTTTAGCAGGATGCATTGTCTTGTAAGCAGATAAACTATACAGGCAAAGTAAAATGTGAAATGGAAGACTATGTCAGATGACCACACAGACAAATTGGTAAGGTAAAATCTTTCTGCTCTGAGTATTTTTGAAATGATAACTCTTTTGCATCTAAATCCACGCTTATTTACTTGGACTTCCAATAAACCAAACAACAGAAACCAGCTTTGCCCAATTGGTAGCTAATGCTATAAGCTGTTTTACATTGCAATCTTAATATTTTTTGGCTGTTTTAAAAATATTTTCATTATTAATATCCTTCTTAAGTGTTTTAACTCTTGCTGGTTTTGAAGGGACCAATGATGCTCTCTTTGTGGGTGGAGTTGAGACATTTGCAGAATTTGCAAATAAAGGTCTTCCCACTTTTGGTGGGGAGGGTATAGTTCAGTGGTAGAATGTATGCTTAGCATGCACGAGGCCCTGTGTTCAATCCTCAGTACTTTCATTAAAATAAACAAACAAACGAAAGTCTAATTACCTCCCCAACAAAATAAATAAATAATTTTTAAAAATTTTAAATCTTTCCACTTTTGGAAATACCCCATTTTCTCAATTTTTGAGATAGCACTAGGTGTAAAATGCAGCATTAATTTGATACTAGCCTGGAGGGGAAGAAACTGCTGTGTTACATTTATATATAGATTTTAAACTGCAGTCCAATTTCAGAATCTTTAGAAAAAGAAGGCAGGATATCTTAGTATTAAGGGGATATGGTAACTAGTATTTCCAATTATATACAAGTAACAAGATAGTAAGCTTTCCTATCATTTTCACTGAATTTCACTTTTAAAACTAACTAGAAATCAGTAAGCTTTTAATTTAAGATGTATATATGTTTCTAAAGTGACTCTTTTTTTCAAAATTATAATTATAGTAAATTCACAAGATCTTTAAATTGTACTTATGTATTAGTGAACTAAATTTTCTCATGGAAGATGTAATAAGTATAAAGAAATTCAGTTTTTTTTAATCTAAAAATGAGGGGTTAGACCAAAAGACTAGAGGTGGTCATTCAACTCTGTGATTCTGTGCCATGACAGTGGTAACTTTTTAAAATATAATTTAGAATAAAATTTAGTTTTGTAATAGATGACAAGAGAAATAGTAGAACACAGTAATAAAATTGTGAAACTTCTCTACCTCCATCACTAAATTACTCACTGTTACCTAATGACTATATTTGTCCTTTACATTGAGCAATTTTTATGCACCATGATCATACTAAAACATTAATTTTCATTTAATTTAAAAAAATAAATATTTAATTTAATTCTCAAAAGAATTCATATATCCAATTATATCTTTTATGTTTCTTTCATCTGTCAATTTTTTTTATTCCCATAATGGAAATTCCCTAAAAGCCTTTCAAATTAAAGAAGAAACTGGGAGAATGTGTACAATATAAAGCAGTCAGGCTCACACCCCACCCACCCTATCCCACAAAGAACATTTGCTTTGCTTGTTTTGAGTCACATAACTTTTTGAGACAGATATAATATTGTGGAAAAATAATTTCTATTTCAACCAATGAGCACACAATATCTGTGATCATAATTATAGATATAATGTAATATAGCACATCATAAATCCCAGAAATAAAACTAATTCTATAGTTTAGGGACTTAGAATTTATTCTACTTTTGGTCACATAGTCAGTGTTTAAATAAATTAGAAATTCAGGTCATGACAAATACGATAAACACACTTTACCCAAACATTTACAACTTACCAATAGTTCAAACTTGTTCTTAAGAAAAAGAAAAGACAAATCTTTAATGCCTTACAGGATTGGCAGGAAGAGCTGAAAAATACACTTTTACACACACAAGAAGGCAGGCTTTGTTTGATTTTGCTCATTGGAATTCTGTTAGTGTCAAGGGCATTGAACTTGAGGATATTCAGAATAACAATGACTGAATAAAGAAAAGTAAGCCTTGCCCCACACTTGGCTTACTTACTAATTGTTGTAGGTAATTAAATGGTTTTTTTTAATTTTCTGACTCAGGAAGTACATAACTTAAAAGCCTGAAATATTAGTATCTCTGATGCTGGATAGGAAATTCATTGTATTTACATAGTAGAGTTTAGACATAATTACTGGCTGTTAAATCTACGTGTATTCCTAACTACACCTTTCATGTTTCAGCCCTCTTGAATTTCATTTACTATCTGTTTTAATGGTGAAATACTATGTTTTAAACTAAGGGAAAACAATTGAAAGTATTTCAACATATTAGTGAATAGGGGTGTTTTCACTGTATTGACATTCATTCCCAGATATTTTGGGAATTCAAGTGAAGGGAAAGCTGACATGAGTGATATATTACAGATTAAATGTAAAGTGGGCACCATGGGTATGTGAAATTAATCAGTGGCTTTACAGCTTACTAATTGGGTAATAAATGAGTCTGTATTCTACATGCTACAGGTAGGTTTGTTTGACCAGTGCGTTCATAGCCAGCAGACACTGGGGTCCTGCCTTCTAACGCTTATACATTCAAACAGAAAGGAATTAAAGCATGAGATGATTCCATGTGATGCAAATGGAGTGAACTAATAAAATAGTAAACCTTCTTTTAGGTTAGGTAGTAAAAGCAGTATTAACAGAGCTGTTCTACATACCTAACACTTCATGAAAAGCTGATTTCCTTGTTACCAAATTACATGTCTTTCATCCTGTCACTCAGGACACTGTTTAAAGAGTATCTGTCATTCACTGCTTGTTTTTCTGTTCAATAATGCTATATAGGTATTTCTCGCTCAATAAAATGTAATCAAATTTTTAACATTGGAACTTTCTCTCATTTCTGATTCTCCCACTTTCTTAACTTTTAACATGAGCCTCATTATAAAAGCATTGTTGAAGTAATATGGCAATTTACACAGGCAAAAGAAGGCCTGCATTTCTAGTAACTAAGAACAGATTAAATCAAATTAAATTCAAATTAAATATTTCCTGTAGCCCCTTATTTGTAATAGTGGCTTCAGTTTATAAGCTGTAACTAGAACATAGATGTTCTATTTTTGAAATAAACAGTTTTCCATTTGATAATGAAGATCTCAAACTCAAGAAAACTCTAAATATAAATAATAATTCTAGATCTTTTTAGAAATGTATTTAAATAATCCTGAATTCTTTTATTACAAATATTTATCCAGCCGTTTTTCAAACTTTAGAATTGGGATTCTATCGCAAAGAGAGCTCATAAGAGCATCTTTAAAATTTATAAACTCTAACACAAATGAAGTGGATTGAAAGTTGCATCAGTGCAGTATTTATAATCATATAATATGATATAATAAGCTAAAGTGAAAATTTTAGAAATGTGCTTTTTGATAAATTAATCTTGAAATAATCTAACGATTCCAGGAATGAAGCAGGAGACCAGCATAATTCTTTGACTTCTCTTTTGTTTGTTTGTTAAATGCTATTGATTATAAAATAATAATCCTTTTTCCCCACGCAGAGTTTTCTAGTTCTCTTCTGTCTGCTGAGCAAGAAAGACTTCAGACTGATAGCTCTGGCATTCATTTATCTAATAGGAATGAAACACTTGAACTTTTGTCTGAACCTCCAGTTCATTCAACTAAACTTGATTCCAAAAAGGAAGGCAGTGTCCCAGTTTTCATCAAAGAGGTGTCAAATGCTGAAATAAACATAGGAGATGTAGTTAAACTGTCTGTTACTGTCACTGGCTTTCCCAAGCCCCAAATTCAGTGGTTCTTTAATGGAGTAATGTTAACCCCTTCGGCTGACTACAAATTTGTTTTTGACGGTAACGATCACAGCTTGATCATTCTGTTCACCAAATTTGAGGATGAAGGGGAGTATACATGTATTGCCAGTAATGAATATGGACAAGCAATTTGTAGCGCCTATCTGAAAATAAATTCCAAAGCTGAGGGGCTCAAAGAGACAGAACCAGAGGAGAAATCTCCAGAAAAGCTTGAAGGTCCTTGTCCTCCTTACTTCCTTAAGGAGTTAAAACGAATTCGCTGTGCTCAAGGGCTCCCTGCCATCTTTGAGTACATGGTGCTTGGAGAGCCTACACCCACTGTTTTGTGGTTCAAAGAAAACAAGCAGCTTTGCACCAATGTTTATTACACCATCATTCATAATCCTGATGGTTCCGGAACATTCATTGTCAATGACCCTCAGAGAGAAGATAGTGGTCTCTATGTTTGTAAAGCAGAGAACGTGTGGGGTGAGTGCACCTGTGCCGCAGAGCTGCTCGTGTTTCCGGAAGACACGCATATGATTGATGCCCCCTGCAAAGCAACGTCCATGCCAGAGGCACCTGAAGATTTTCCACAGACGTCCTTAAAGGTCCCCACATTGGACTCAGAGCAGGAAATTGCAGCTTTTGTAAAGGACACCGTTTTGAAAGCGGCTTTAATGGCAGAAGAAAAGCAGCAGCTTTCTTATGAGCATATTGTTAAAACCAGTGAACTGAGCAGTCAAGTTACTTTAGTAGCTGAGCAACGGCAATCCACAGTCATGCTGGAGCAGGAGATGCCCACTCCTGAAAGCACCAGGGAACATCTTTCCGTCAGTGGCACTATTCATGTTCAGCCTCTCAAGGAACCACCTCCCAATTTACAGCTACAGATTGTCCAGTCCCAGAAAACCCTCCCCAAAGAAGATATTCTAATACATCAAGAGCCTGAGTCCCAGGTGGTTCTATCAGGTACTGAAAAAATCTTTCCAAGTGCCATGTCCGTAGAAATTAGTCCATTAACAGCTGAGCCTCTGAAAACTTTATTAGCTGAACCTAAAGGGAGTTATCCACAGTTGTCAATAGAAGAAACTCCAGCCCATTCATACCCAACCTCTGTGACTGAGGAAGTACTTTTACCAAAAGAAAAGACAGTGTCCACAGTGGAGAAAGAGCAAAGAGTGACTCTTCAAAAACCA